TTGGGGTGGGCCGCTGTGAGTGCCCCCCCCCCCCCCGTCTCCATTCAGGGTGGGGATGCAGAGATCAGGTCTTCGGGCACTAGCTCCTCGCAACTCTGGCAGGATGTTCTCAGTGCTGACTCCGTTTCTGCTCTCTGCTAAGCAGATGCCTCACCCCTGCCCAGTGAGGGGGAGAAGTTGCGTGTGGCTCCCAGTTCTGCCGAACGGGGTGACCCTGTGCAAACAACTGTGAGCAGCCTGCTTCCCCATCTATAACACAGGGGGAGTTGCTCTGAGCTGCTGAAGGTGACAATGTCTGGGCAAGTGTCCAGCCCAGAGATGGCGGCTGCCCTTGCCGGGCAGCACCACGGCTGCCTCCTCCGTACCTGTGTCCCCGTGCACCTCTGGCACACTGAGAGGATTGTTTACGCCCAGGTCTGTCCTCCCTAAGAAGGGAGGCATCTGGGACCCCGGGAGGGCAGAGACAAAGGCTCAGTAGTAACAGCTGCTCTGCTGCAAGCCCCTGCCACATGCCGGCCACGGGGCACCGTGGCTCTCTCCTGTGGACCATTTAACCCTCATGACGACCCTGGGAGGTACGCCTTGGCCCTGCTTGGCAAAGGAGGAAACTGAGGCTCAGAGGGGCCTAGCAAAGGCACCTAAGTTCACACAACTGGTAAGCAGAGATTCCGAATCTGGCCCAAATCCCGGAGGTGCAAGGCAGGTCTGCAGAGGAGCAGCCCCAAGTGGGGATTACCTGCAGGGGCCGGCGTGCCCTGTAGCCCACCTCGGGCAGCACCTCTTTCCTCAGGCCCCAAACTTGGCCCTCAGGGGATTGCATGCCTTGGAGTGTCCCAAATCCAGCTCCTCTGCTTCCTGTGTGAGTCAAGGTGAATCAACTATCCTACCTGGGCTTAGGAAGCTGAAAAAGAGCTGTGCTCACCCCTCCTGGCACAGCGAGTGTGGTGAGGCAGCAGGTTCCCTGGCCAGATGACCAGCCCAGGGCAGGTGAGGACCCTGGAGCCAGGAGCCAGGTCCACAAGGCAGCTGTGTCTTCACTCTGGCCATTCCATAATCTCCCTGCCCTGGAACAGATCCCTGCCACTGCCACTCCCAGGACATCCTGCTCCTGAGCCCCTTTTAATACCCCTAATCACCCCCCTCCGAGGCCAAGTGTTCTGCAGACACAGACACACCCCACGGGGCAGGGGGCAGAGTCAGCTGTAGGCCGAGTTCCCCTTGACACACTTCGCCGGTGATCACAGCGGCCTACACACCGGCCTTCCTTGCAGCAAACACGCGTGCCTCGTAAAATCGTGTGATCATTGTACTCACCCCTCGCTGAGAGCCTTCTGTGTGCCCAGACCCATGCCCTTCCATGGCTCCCCACTGCCTGCAGGATCGCGTCTTGGCGCTCAGCATGGAGCCCAAGGCCACTGTCTCCAACTGGCCCCAAGTGGTAGAGGGAGCCAGATCCCACATGGCCAATTGTGCCATTTGAATCCTCGCCCCGGAGGCGTGAAAAACGTGCCAGGCATGGGTGCACGCATGGGCACCTAAACCCCAACAGGGGAGGGGACCGGAGAAGGGTTGCAGTGCGACCACGCTGTCAGGGGCCTGCGCTCTCCTGCCACCCCTTTCTAGCAAGTGCAGGTGCCTTCTACTTTACATAAAGACAAACAAAAACCAATGAGCAGAGAGCGTGGGTTCTAGAACCTGAATGTATGGATTCAAATGATGGCTCCTACGCCTGCATGGCCCGGAAAGTTCACTTCATTTCTCAGCACTTGTGAGGCGGACGTAAGAATAGCGCACCTGGGCCCAGCAGGTGGTGTAGTAGTTAAGGTGCTGGACCCCACGTGGTCATCCATGGTGCACATCCCAGACTCAGGGCTTGAAACATGCTGAGAGTGTGGCACGTGTGCCCAAGATCCCGAGATGAGACTGGGGAAGGGACTGTGGCATGACCCTGCACCGTCACTTTGGCAAAGTCATGGTCTCCTGTTAGGACTCAATTTAAACGTCACCTTCTCTGTCCAAACAGCCTCAAGTCCTTGCCTTCCTCCTCTGTCCCACAGCAAATGGCAGGGTGGCGAGTCTGCCGCCCTCACCCCAGCACCTGGCAGGGTCCAGCAGTCTCAAATGAGAGTTCAGGCCTGCAGAGAAAGCCCAGAGCAGTTCTGTACTTGCTTCTCAGATGCGGCTTGGACGGTGAAGGAACTCATCTGAGGTCTCTTAGCCAGCAGGTGGCAGATGGGGGACCAGAACCCAAAGTTGCATGGCTGCAAGCCTAGATCCCCAACGAGAGGGAAGGAGGCAGCGGTACCGAGAGGAGTGGATTACTTGAACAGTGGCCTGATTCAGGGAACCCCAAGGGACCCCAGAGGCCCTGTCTGGCTGCCTACGCTCACCCTTATGGCCTCCACAGCTGTAAGAACCGATACATGGGGCCAGCAATGCGTAACAGTTATGGTGGCTGGATCCCACATGGCTGATTGCATGGTTTGAGACCTGGACCAAGTGGTTTGAAAAATGCTGGGAGCATGTGTGTGTTTGTGCCCAAAATCCCAACAGGAGGAAAGGATGGAGAAGGGACAGTAGCATGACCATCCTCCATGGGTGCCACTTGCTCGCTTTCTCTCTGGTGAGAGCATGTGCCTCTGACAAAAATTAAAAACAAAGAGAACCAAGGGGCGAGCAGTGGCTAAAGTGCTGGGTCTTACATGGCGGGCAGCCTGGTTTGAGTCCTGGACCCGGCAGCTTCAAAAATTACACCAGGCGGGGGCCTGCAGGTGGCATAGTGAAGGCACTGGATTCCCACGTGGCCGACCGTGGTTCAAGTCCCAGATCTAGTGGCTTAAAATTCACACAGGGCGGGGAACCAGCAGTTAGCGTAATGGCTATGTCGCTGGACTCCCATGTAGTCGACCGCGGTTCGTGTCCCAGACCCGGTGGCTTAAAACTCACTCCGGGCGCGTGTGCGTGCATGCCCAAGATCCCGAGAGGAGAATGGAGAAGAAGGGATTGCGGTGTGACCATCCCCCCTGGGGGGTGATTTCTCGCTTTCTGTCTCTATGTCTCTGTCTGTCTGGCGAGCGCATGCGTCCTATAGCAAAAACCTCTCCAAAAAAAAAAAAAAATTCACACAGGGTGCAGGTGTGTGCCCAAAATCTCAGGAGGAGAATGAAGGAAAAGGGATTGCTGTGTGGCCACCCTGCCCCCGGGGAGGGATTTCTTACTTTCCCTCTCACTCTCTCTCTCCCCCCAACAAGCACACACACCTATGGCAAAAACCTTTAAAACACACACACACACACACACACACACACACCGGGCATGTGTGCAAGCCTGCCCAAGATCCCAAGAGAATGTAAGAGAAAGGACTGTGGCCTGGCCTTTCTCACTTTTCGTATCTTTCTCTAGTGAGCACAACATGCCCTTAGAGCCAAAACCAAAAATTGAAGAAGAACGGATACACAAGATCTCTGGGGAGAAAGAGGCAGCCCCGAGAAAGAACTGAAGTGTGTTGGGGGACAACACAGAGAGGACCACAGGGCCCGGGGGTGGGAAGCCTAGCTCGCCTGCCCTTCTGGCCTGGCTGCTGCACGGGGAGGGGAAAGAACACAGTCCCACGGCCGCCAACCCAGCTGGTCGGGCACTCCCTGACCACAGACGGGTCACGTCACTTTTCACAGCCGGGGTGTCCATCTGTACCGACAGCAGGACTGTCTTGCTAACAGACACCCGACTGCCTGGGTCAGTACCCCTCACCTAAGTGCTGAATAAATGGGAAAATGATGCTGACCTAAGAACAACAAATGGAAGGCCTTATCTAAAAAGCTTCGTGGAGGGGGAACCAGCAGTTAGCGTAATGGCTATGTCACTGGACTCCCACGTAGTCGACCGCGGTTCGCGTCCCGGACCCAGTGGCTTAAAACCCACATTGGGCGTGTGTGCGTGCGTGCCCAAGATCCCGAGAGGAGAATGGAGAAGGGATTGTGGAGTGGCCATCACACCTGGGGAGTGATTTCTTGTTTTCTGTCTCTGTCTGTCTGGCGAGTACACGCACCGTATAGTGAAAAACCTCTCAAAAAAAAAAAAAAGCTTCGTGGAGGATGGAAACCCACCCTCCCTCCTCAGAGAGCACTGCCCAAGAGGACAGCCGCCCAGGTCCCCACACCACTGCACCCGCTTCCCGAGGTGGGAGATGGGGTCCCGGAGACCTCTCCTTCCCACCTGGGAAGCTGTCTTGGGAAGGGCCGAGGCTGCGTTCAGAGAAGCTGAGCAGCAGGAGGATGGCACGTGCCCTGCCGGCAGGCAGCAGCCCCAGGAGCTGGCTTCGGAGCCCAGCACTGGCAGCCCAGGCA